GCATGATCAGACTGGATACTCTCAGTGCCAGCCAAATTACCTGAAATTGAAGAATATTATGATGGAAACACCTCTTCTAATTCCAGACAGAGGACTGGCTGGTCAAGTGGCAGGTCTGGCTGGTCAGGCCACTCAGGTGGCCGATCTCGTGGTCACCCAGGTAGACAGAGTAGACAGGGGAGTTGCTCTGGAAGTCCCCAAGATGGTAGAAAATGAAGTGGGAACGGAAATCGACCAAAAAGCAGAAGCCACAAATGGGGTTTTGACTGAGAATTTGATAGTCAATCTACCAGTGTGAGCTTGCCTATTTCTACCTAGTCATGTACATTATCCACTAAAGCTTTGGACCATCATAGTTGAGGTAGGTATCTGCTGTTTGCAAAGAAGTTGGTCGTATTTTTTTTTAAAGTTTTTCACAAGAATGGTTGCAAACAAGTCTATTTATCCAGTTTGAATAAAAAAAAAAAAGCCTCCTTTTATTGTCTGTTTTCAAAAAAAAAGAGATTGTCTGTTTTCTTTCTTAGCTGAGTCCTAGTTTAGTGTTAGAATCAAAGTAATTTTAGTTTCCAGAAATGAGGTTTGAAGTACTCCTTCCCTTTTAATTTTATTAAAGAGTTTGAAACTGACTGGCATTATATCTTTACTAAAGTTCTTATAGATTTCTGTAGTGAGTCTCTGAGGCCCTAGACTTTTCTTAATTGGTAGGTTCTTTCATTACTGTCCCAGTTTCATTGCCTATTACTGATTATTCAGAGTTTTTATCTTCACAGTTATGTTCTAGTAATTCATATCTGTCAAGGAAGCTAGGTTTTTGGATTGTCTAATTTATTGGAGTGCAGGTTTGTACACAGTTACTAATAATCTGGAATTTGGCCATGTCTATTGTGATTTTCCCTTTTTTTTTCTAATTGCATTGATGAGGATCTTTTCTTTCCTATTTTTGGTGAGATTGTCTAAGCATTTATTTTCTTCATTCTTTGAAAAAAGTAGCTTATCAATTCATTAATACTTTGTTTATAAATCTAAATATCATTGACTTTTGCTCAGATCTTTATAATTTCCTTTCTTGTAGTTGGTTTGGATTTGGATTCTTCCTGTTTTTGTACAGAATGTTTATGCACCATTAGGTTATTAGTTTGGACTCACTCTGCTTTTCTGATATGAGTGTCTGCATCAGAACTTTCTTATTACAGCTTTTCTTGTGTCCCATAGATTCTGGTATGCTGCATTTGTATTATCATTTGATTCTAAGAGCAGTCTAATTAATTCCCTGAAATTTGTGACCCACCAATTGTTCAAGAGTGTATAATTTAATCTCTAGGGATTTGCATAATTTCTGTGGTTTCCTTTGCCATGGATTTCTAGTTTCATTGTGTTGTGATCTAATAATATCCATGGGAGATTTTCAGTTCTTTTGTACTTGTTTAAGAATGCTTTATGGGCTATCGTGTGGTCTGTTTTGGTGAAAGTTCCACGTGCTGCTGAGAAAAATATGTTATTGGGTAGAACACTACAGAAATCTATTAAGCCCTTTTGTTTGATGTTATGATTCAACTCTGATATATTTTTGAATTTATGTCTAGTTGATCTATTTTTATCATACTGGCATATGGGTATCCCCCACCATAATTGTGATGTTTATCTTATCTTTTATGAGTAGTGGAGTTTATTTCATGAAGTTGAGTTTATCTGTGTTTGGTGCATATATGTGTGTAATATTTACCTGTTTCTGTTGAATTGTTCCCTTAGACAAGAGATACTGACTAGAGTACCTTTTCTGATAATTTTTGGCTTGAAGTGTACTTTGAAACTAGTGTAACTATTCCTCCTTGTTTTGGGGTTCCCATTACATGGGATATTGTTTCCCACCTTTTGCTTTTCAGTCTGTGAATTCCTTTTTGGATTAAATGTTATTTCTTGTATAAACATACCATTGGGTGTTGTTTTTTGACACATTTTGCGAATATTCTCTTTTGATTGGGTAGTTATGATCATTCATATTGAGAATTATTCCTGGAAGGTGTTGATTTAATCATGTCATTGCATTATTTCTGTTGTGGATTCATTTTCTTCTCACCATACGTGATGTAGTCATTCCTTAGATAGTCAACATTGTTGCCTTGATTGTTTCTAGGATACCCCTGACTATTTTTTGGATTAGTGGTCATGAATTTCTGAAGGTGCTCTTTGACATGGAAAGACCTGTTTTGTCCATCAATTTTGAAAAATTGTGTTGCCAGATATGTTAGTCTGAGTTGGAAGGTTCTTGTCTTTTAGGGCTTGAAACCCTTCACTCCAAGCCCACCTGGCCTTTAAGGTTTCCATTGGGAAGTCTGTCATGATTACAATGGGTTTACCTTCATATGTGATTTGTTGCTTTTCTCTAACAGCTTTTAAAATTCTGTCCTTGTGTTGAACTTGGAATTTTCACTCAGATACGTCACCTTCATTAATTTGGGAGCACTAGGGTAAAGTGGGATTGACCCAGCATCCAGTACACTGGAAATGAAGCAGTAGTGTTGATGACAGAAAGAAAAAGCAAATATTGGCATAAAGTAGTAGCCAATTAATAGCAAGAACGATGCCATCCTTACACTATCAACAATAGTAAGGTCAAAGACAAACTGGATACTGCCGTACCATAAGAACCAATGAAATGTATCACTGTACTACCTTTAGAATAGAAAAGAGATCTGTAATTATAATATAAAAACAAAGACAAACCAGATATAGTAAAGCCTCCATTTATGAATGAGTTCTACTCCGAGAGAATGTTTCTAAGTCAGATTCATCTGTAAACCTGACAGAGTCTTACATACCTTTGACACAAATATACGATTTGCTTTGTGCTTTCTGGCAGTTCCCTCTACATCATTACTGCTTTTCCACTTACTTCCAGACATTCTGGGCTCTGATTGAGCACTGTGCTACTGTGACTATCACACTGTACAGTCAGCTCTTAGCAGCACAACTGTGACAGTGTCAAGCAGACCCGTGTACTACTTCTGCAGTTTGTTTGCATCTACGAATGATTGTAATGTGAGGTCCGTTCATATTTTTGAAAGTTCACATCTCAAATATTCCTAAGTTGGGGACTCACTATATTGACATACAGTGAATATCTATTAAATGCAGAACTATATTACCATTAACAGTAGAAAAAATTCAATAATAATGGCATGCCAAGTCACGGTTTTCTGTGCCTTGCTTTATGTCCTGTGGGGTTGTGAAGTATCCACTCTGGTTCCAGAGGACCATCTTTCTGTATAGGCCATGTTGTGGCGCCAAGGTACCTTCCTGCTCACGTTGGCAGATAGGAAAGACAAACAAACCACTGAGGTCTGCGTTGGATGTGAGCAGAGGAATGAAGAAGGGGCATCAGCCAGTCTACTAGAGTTACTGTCAGCACTTTTAGACCCGGGCGCCTCCAAAACCCACACATGACTGGCCTGGCTTCTCATCTCAGAGGGCAGGAACCCCGTATCCTTTCCAGCTTGAGCTTCAACTTCCCTGAAGTCTGTATCTAGGCTGCAGCCTCTCCATGATTGTCCTTTGTGCCCATCTCCCACCCACTCACTATGGTTAATGATCCCAGAAACTTTGAAGTATAGTTGTTCTGTAGCTGCTCTAGAGCTGAGCCTTAATTATTCCCTTCTCCAAATTGCTCTTGATTAAACACTCAAATATGGTGAGCCCTGCACTGAATTTGTTCACCAACTCTAACAAGCCATGTAGAAGTCACTTTCAGAGTAAAAGCCCAAGTTATTTTTGAAGGCATAATAACTGTAGGCTTTTATTGGGAATAGCAGTGCTGGCTCATGATTATTTCCCATGCTCACAACCTGTTTAAGTGTCTTGTCAGTTATCTCAGTCACTTTTAATTGAGCTGTTTATTTTTCACCTATTATGTTTCATGAGATTTATTCATTCTGAGTGCAAGTTCTTTGCCATATATGTGTTTTGCAAATACTTTGTTCCAACATGTAACTCATTTTTAAAATTCCCTTAACAGTGTCCTCCACAAAGCAAATTTTCTTTTAATTCTGTGCTGCAAGACACTAATTGTGAAGGAAGTAACCATTCTGACATTTTCTGGGGGTGAAATTCAAACCTCTAGAGGTCATCATCAGCTTGTGAGGTTCTAAACTTTTTATTTCAAGATCCTCAGAGTGCCAAGAAGAGAAAAAGTGCTCAAAAAGAACCCTATAATTGGTAATCTGTTGGGGAGACATTTTCCAGAGAAGCCCCGGTTCACAAAATTTTTCACCTTTAACAAATCAGCCAAAATGTCAGTGTTCTGTGTCTGTTTTAAAATCAAACAAATTAAGTCCAGATGCATACAGTGGTAGTGTAGCCTATTTTGTTCACGATTGCTTGTATGTGACAAATTTAGGTAAGTGTACTTGTTAGATTTTAGATGGTTTGGTGCTTTAGAGGAAGATAGGGGGAAGCCTAACTAAACTCAGCTGTGTAAGGCTTCTCTTGGATTCCCAAGGTTGAAACCCCTCAGGGTTGCTCTTCTCATCACATTTCATGAATAGATATCTCATTCTATTATTCAAAACATGGCACAGACTCGCCATTCTTCTGGCCTTAGTCACATATAGTTAATATCAGCCCTACTGTAGACTAGGAGGAAATCTGTATCTCAATAAATAATGAAAGGGAAATATGGGGAACTGGAATAACAACTCACCACCAGAAATCACCAGTCTCTTACCGGGTAATGGTTGGCAGCTTTGAGTAGGGGGGAAGCTCCAAGCAGATGTAAATGCTATGTAATATGAAGTAAACTTTTTTCCATTTCACAGCAGAACAGCATGCCTGCTAACCCACATCAGATGCTATTCAGGGGCCTCGTCTTTTGACTACTCCTTCCACAATTCTAGGATTATTGAAGGTAGCCTGTCTGCCCTCAGTGAGACAACTCATTCTGTCAGCCATCATCTTGTTCTTCGTTGGTTGCACATTCCTAACTCTTTTGCCTTCTTTTCATCAAGGACTATGATGCCTTCTTTGAAGCCCGAGAAAATAATGCAGTGTATGCCTTTTTAGGCTTGAAGGCACCACCTGGTTCAAAGGTACGATTCTTTTTCCTTTCTTTATAGATAATTTTACTGCTGCTGGTTATTTTATTTTAAAGAGAATAATAAATAAAACAATAGCAAAATACCAACAACATAGACAAAAATAAAACAAAGCAAAAGCAATAAAATGATACAGGGTTTCAGAACAAAATGATAGGAATTAACAGTGGTTGTTATATTACATATTGTTATCTTCAACGAAGTTGCTCAGATTACCAGATGTAAGAATGCAAGATTGATCAAACCATTAGAGAGAATAAATAATAAAAACCAAAGAAACATTGGAAATGATACAGAGTTTCACTAGGCAGGATGGTAGGAATTCACTAATGGTTGTTATATTGCATACTGTTGTCTTCAAAGTATTTGTTCAGATTATGAGATATAAGCATGCAAAATTGGTCCAAAAATAAGCATTAACGGTTGCTTTCAATAAACAAATAGACATGAGCAGTGCAGTTACCCAGCTATCCTTCTGTGTACATATATATATATTTTTTCCCTTCCTTCTTTCTTTCTTTTTCTCCTTTCCCTCATCCCAGTTGTTCCTTCCTTTGAGCAATTCCTTTCACTTTCATAATATCTATTGTACATTTTGGGTTTTATGTACTCTGTCAGGTTCTTACACTTGGGAGCAAATACGATGTTCACACATGTGGGTCCGGTTTATTTCACTTATGAGTATGGTTTCTAGTTGTATCTATTTACCTATAAAAGCCTCAAGTTTATCGTTTTTATAGCTGAGTAATACTCCATTGTATAAAAATACCACATCTTTTTAATCCATTCCTCAGTTGATGGGCGTTTGGTTTGTTTCCAAGATTTAGCTATGACAAATTGTGCTGCTATAAACATGGGTGCACATATATCGCTGTGGCATGATGTTTTTCATTCTTCTGAGAAAATACCCAGAAGGGGAATAGCTGAGTTAAGTGGGACTTCTTATCCTAGTTTTGTAAGGAATCTCCACACTGATTTCCACAGTGGTTTCACCAATCTACACTCCCACCAACTGATGCTGGGTTTTTTAATCAGTAAAATTTCTACCTTTGTTAAGTATTCAGATTAAGTCAAAGGCAGTGCATCATAGCTGAAAGTCCTGTTCTGCATACACTTAATCGCTGTGAGGGCAGACAGCTGTTATGCACAGTTCTACATGGACAACAAGCATCTTAGATCATGGTAATCTCCTTAGCAACATTTACTATCTTTGTGTGAGAGCAAATGATAGATTCATCCATTAAAGTTAACCAAGAGCATTTTGAGTTACAAACTGGTCACTAAATTGCTAGCTAAATCTGGGGAATATTTGCGATCAACACAAATTCAATTTTCAAGTGGTGGTGTTCCCCGAGGAGACCAGAAAACAAAAGAAAACAAAAATGAAATTTCCTAATGAAATGTCTTAAAACTATATTTAAGTATGCCTTTACATTTTACAATATATATTCTTGGGCCGGGACTGGTGGCACACAACTGAAATTCCAGCACTCAGGAGCTGAGACAGGAGGATTACAATGAGTTCAAGACTAGTGTGGGCTACATAGTGTGTTCAAGGCCAGGTTGGACTACATAGCAAGGCACTGCCTCAAAAATCTAAAGCAAAACAAAAAACAGATTTTCTCCACACAAGAGAACTTAATCAAGATGTATGTTCCCTGCTATAAACTCTTAGCATCTGCTTTCATGTTAAATAGATTATTCAAACTTTACCTCCTCTTTTAAGACCCTGTGATTTTACTAGATGCCATGTGCTAACATTGTGTTTGTGTCATTGTGAAGTTGTTTCCTTGACAAACTTTCTTTTCCCAAGGATAAAGTGGTGTATTTTAGGTTTTGCATAATTTGAGTTACAAGAACATTTAAGTAAAGCACCTTTATTTAAATAAGATAATAAGACAGAAATTAAGTTATTGTGTTTAGTGGAGATTAGAGAAAGTGTGAAAGAAATAATCTGTGTAATCTGTTTTCTGTGGCTGATGACTCCCTTCTTTTCAGTTAAAATTGGGATTCTTCATTCAGCAGCAATTTATTGAGTGTCAAGCTTTAACGTTAGTGGTGGGGTAAATACACAGTTTGAAGCATATTCCTTACATTGTAAGTGTTTATAACCTCATGAATATGTGCACACAACTAATTATTTAACAAATACAGCTATAAATAATGCTAATTTAAGACATATTATAGTAAATTTTATAACATAGTGTAAATAAAGATCTGTAGGAGCTCAGGAGAACTAATCATAAATTCCTACTATGGAGACAGTGAAAACTTTCACAGATGAGTGGCATTTGAGCTGTTGGAGATTCCTAAATAATGAAGTGAGGCTAAGGCATGTTTCACAGAGACAGCAAGAGAAACCACTGCATGGCATGTAGCTCTGCATGATGGGAGAAGAGTGTAACACAATGTGACTTCAAAACAGGAAACATTAATAGAGGAGGTGAAGCAATAGAAGAGGCTGGAAAAGATTATGATTGCTGTGCTAGATATTTTTAACTTTATCCTACAGACATGCAAAAGCCATGATGGGAAATAGGGAAAAATAATGATATGATTATCTCAGTATTTTAAGATGTGATTTAATCTAAAAGAGTAGTGGACATCATGAAGGATTGGATAAAGGGGAGCTGATGGGTCCAGCTAAGCAGGCAGGTCTGGATATGAAAATGGACTTGAAGGATGGGTTGATAATAAGGAGATTTTGAATGTTAATGTTTAATATGGTGTTTCCAAGACTAAAAGTAACAAATTTGATGTCAGATATTATTATTGTTTAGCTCAATTTTCAGTTTTCCCCCTTTAATGGGACAGTGAACTGACAAAAACAACTAGCTGAATAAAGTACATCAAATAAGAAATGCAGCTATGTAATCCACATGGGAAAAGTACATTGATGCTAAGAGAAATGTGGTAAAATGAAATACCGTTTTCTCTATAAATTAACAAAAATGAAACAAAATAACGCTTCATGTTGAGAAGAATATGTTGAAACATGCACGAACACAGTACTGGGGGTAGTTTAAATTAGTGCTCCATTTTGAAAGAAGGGGAATTACATACCAAGAACTTCAAAAATATTTATACTTCTGTACTCACTAATTTCATGTTGGGTATTATATTTTATTTTATTTTTTTTATTTTTATTTTTTTTTTCTTTTTGTTTTTCTCTGGTACCGGGAACTGAACTCACGACCTTGTGCTTTCCAGGCAGGCGCTTTTGCCGCTGAGCTAAATCCCCAGCCTGGGTATTATATTTTAATTAATGTATCCTATACATGAAAAAAGTATAATAGATAAAAACATGAATAAAATGTAATTTATAATCTTAAATTATAAATAAGTTAAAGTTAAGTCTTTAACAGGAATGTCAACTAAATGAAATTATCAACTAAATGAACCCAGCAGACAAAAATATAAATGGAAGTATTATGTATATTGTGCACTTTGAAAAAAATTAAATGACCAACAATATGTTCAAAAAAAGTAGTTTATCCGCTCAATGAGTTGATAATAGCATAGGATGATACAGTATCCCAAAGCCCCCCTTTTAAAGGTCTTATTTCATAGTTTCAGTCATCCATACTCAGCTATGCTCTGAAAATGTTACTGTAAAATTTCAGAAATAAATAATGTTTTAAATTGCCATTTTGAGTAGTGTGATAAATTATCTCACCATCTTCCACCATCCTATCCAGGACATGAATCATTCTTTTGTCCAGCTTATCTATTCTGGATGTACTAATTTAATCATGGCAGTAGAAAGAGAGGGATTACATTCACAGAATTTTGTTACTATGCTGTTATAATTGTTTGATCACTAGTTATTGCTGTTAATCTTTATATAGGGTGTTGTACTATCTGTAGTTCCAGGCATTCACTAGGAAATTACCCTGTGGATAAGAGGATCTAGTGTAGTTTGTGAACGAAGATATTAAAATGAATTACAGAATTATTCCTACAGTACAATTTTCTAATTATATTTAAAATTCAAGTGCAAAAAAAGGAGTCAGAAAGGAACCATAGCCAATAAACATGTTCTCCAATTCATTTTCCTATTAATTACAATGCATAGCCATTACATTTAAAATTAGTAAAATCCAACTCACTGGAGAGCTTGATGTTTAAAAGTAGTCTATTAGTAAATATTAGTAGTCTAGTAGTAAATATTTCCATAAAGCAAAGAATTTGACTTTCTGTAGAAGTCAAATAAATTTTATATACTGTTGTATACTTAGTGCATTAAAAAGGTATATAAAATTATTAACTACTCTGTTTTGGCAATGAAAAAACATTTATCACTGGCATTCCTTGCTGTAGAGGTAATAGTTTTCAGACATGAAATAAAATAATTGATATTTTTACTAAACAACAAACCTAGTGATGTTCATGCTAAGAGGAAAATGACTTCCCTTAGAGCACATGTTCAATACTATGTTGAGAGAATAGGGGTTGTTGGTGAGAGAATTGTTCTCATTAGCTCCCCTAGAAGCCTGCTTCTTCTGTGAGATTTAATGCAATTTTATTTCCACCGAATTCATTTTATTCATACTGAATCTCAAGGCTTTGTTTCTTTACTAGATAAAAACAGAGAAGGGGATGGGTGAGAAGGAAGAAGGTTAAGACAGACATGTAGTGGCCAGTGCACTGAGGTACATACCTTATGTACATCTCATTTTATCCTTACATCATCTGTATGAGCTGAGTATCATTAATGCCTTTGTACAGAGGAGGAAACTGATATTCAGATAATGTAAGTAATTTGTCCAAGGATATGTAATAGTTTAGTAGCTGAGCAAGAATTTGAAACCAGAATTACCTGACTCAAAACTAATGGATTTATAGAATGATTTTTACAGTAGGAGTAGAGCAGAGTGTACCTCATACTGTTGTTTCAAGAATCCTCTCGTTGATCAGATGTCCCATGATTCTATAAATAGTGACTGTTTATTTGCAAGTCATAACAAACATTAAGATTTATTTAAACATTTGATTAATAAACCAGCTAGAAAAGTAAATAATTTATTTAAATATGTTGAATTCTAAAGAAAAAATTACAAGGAATTGTTTTGTATGTTTGTAATAGTAATTTGTTAGGAAGGATAACTGAAAGCTATGTACTTGGTAATAAATTCTAGTAAAAATCTAGTGGATGTGACTTAGGGATCTAGGCTGCTTTCAAAATACTGATTACTCAGGTATTGTATGCTCAGGAAGAAAGAGTTCGTGTTAATGCTTATTCACGTTACTGTACAGCTGCTTCCAAAATTATATAGGTTAAGCATTTTGTGAGTCTTAGCATAAAATGTGTTTTATTGTGTACGGGAATTGTCATAGGTCTAGGTCTGTTGCATAAAATGAAACAAATTATGCAGTGTAGGTACAAGATGAATTTATTTTCATAGCCACATTTATGTCAGAAACTTCAAAAAAGTTTAGAAGTTCTCCCTTTCTCTCTTCTTAACCCTCTTCCTTCTCTCCATTCTTTGCTTTTTTAAAAATTATTTTAAAGAGTACGAGAAGGATAAAATAGTAATGGGGGGCTTACCGAATTACAGACAAAGTGGTAGGAAGTTATCAATGGTTGTTGTTTGACATATTGTTATCTACAAGATCGTTTCTCAGGAAAACAAATAGACAAATAATAGTGAGTTACAGACAAAAGTGGTAGGTTGTTATCAATGGTTGCTGTACTATACTTTGGTATCTTCAAAGTCGTTTCTAAAGAAAATAAATAGAGCTATACATGAGTGACCAACTGAATATTAATTGACTATTCTCAGTGGTTGTTGTAGGGAACACATAGTAATAAACCTACATCCATTTACGAAATAGCATAGGAACAATACAAACATTACACAATTATGGACAGATTAGTAGGAAAATATCAATGACTGTTGTAAGACATGGTGGTATCTTCAAAGTGGTTTCTCAGGAAGATAGAGATAAGCAAGAAAGCTCTAACAAGTAGTTACAGGGTTCTCCCTTCCTTTGTTTTCCTTCTTTCCTATAGGTGTTTTAGAAAGTTATCAGTAGCATGTTTCATCTGTTCTGTTAAGGATATATGAACAATGAAGTATAGTGTCTTTTCTTGTTTCCTTGCCCATTTTTTCTTTCATTTTTTTGTGAAGATACAGTCTTTTTTTTTTTTTTTTTGCCCTTCCTCTTTCTTTTGGACCTACTATTTTAGTCTCACTTTAGAATACCCAGCTGCTTTTCATTCTTCCTAAGATTGTCACAACTCAATTACTGACTGGTATTTAGAGTGTTAATATCTGGAACACTTGATTTCTACAATTTAAGTCTTGTATTTCTTTTGCCAGAATCACTTTTACCACACATTTTTAATTCAACAAACTATCCTTGAAGATTATTTTGTGTAAAGTGTTATGTTGGGAGCCAAAGCACATAAGTAGTTCAAGATCCTTTGCTAGGTTACTCACTGTCCAAAGGAAAAAGACAACCTGATTTCTTTTCCTGCCTACTATCATGAAGCATAAAAGCCACAATATTTTAATGAATAGCACATTCTCTAAATAACTTAACCTTTGTTAAATAAAATTAAAGCAACTATAAATATTAGGTAATATTTATGAACTTTCAAATTTTTTTTATCTTTTTGAGACAGGGTCTCACTATGCAGTTCAGGCTGGTCTTGAACTCATGTTGTAGCACAGACTGGCCTCAAACACCCAGCTATCCTCCTGCCTTAGCCTCCCAAGTGCGGAGATTAGAGGCATGCACCACCACACCCAGCTATGAATGCTCAACTTTTGTAAAACATCACCTGAGAAAGAAACTAGCTGATTATTTTAAAATACCAAGTTTACACTCTAAGTCATTTGGATTTATGGAATAATTTCAAACCATTAGTAATGATTAGACAGTCTTTGATTATGTGTCTTGTGTTGACTTTCTTGGCACTGAGATACAATACCTGATACCCACAATTTAAAAGAAGATAGGTTTAACTTGGCTTATAGTTTCAGGGATCAGTCCATGGTTAGCTGTCTCCAAGGCAGAAATATTGTGGCAGAAAGGTGTGGCAGAGAAGAGAAGCTCATGGGAGTTTATGGGAGCAGAGAAGCAGAGCAAAGGGACAGTGCCACAGAGAAACTGGATTAGAACCATATTAGTACCCAAGATCATGCCTTCATGACAGACCCACAAACACAAAGGGGTTTGTTTTACTAATCTACTAGGCATTTCTTAATCCAGTAAAGTTGACATCAGGAGTAACCGTCATATGTTTCCTGACCGTAGTTTCTATTATAAGTTTTCTATTAAAACTTTAAGCAGTCTTTTCTGGATTTAAGTACTATGCTTTTGAATATTTTTAGTAATTTATTCTTTTGTACTCCAAGCAAAATACACCTAGATATCTGCTTTGTGGATATTTATATTTAACTTGGTTTTTTGTTTGTTTGTTTTCAGGAAGCAGAAGCCCAGGCAAAGCAGCAAGCATGAACCTTAAGCATTGTGCCTTAAGCATTCTGCCTTAAGCATCTTGAAAAATGAGTCCCTATTGCTTTTATAAAATAAGTTTTTCAAATAGCAACATTATCTTGGTTCCAAAAGAAATTGCTTAAAGTTAAAATAATTAGGTGGTGTTTTCAGGTACAATAAAATGAATGCATAATTAAAATATGAAAATTATGTTGAGGATAACAGGAGATTATTATAAAATTTTAAATAAATATGGGATAGTATTATGTGCCAATAATACTATTTTTTATACTTTACTGATTTTTACAAAGAGAACACCCTTTTTGATACTGTTGCAGCTTAAGTCTATCTGCAGCTCACCAGTGACAAATGGAGAGAGAGAGAGAGTCTGTCTCTTGTTCCTAAATTGCTTCGTTAGTTTTGGTGGGTAAGAATGTGTATGTTTTTGAAGTGAAGTTGTGAGCAAAAAGTACTTGCAGGTAATGGTTCTGATGTGTGAAACACTGTAATTTTATGTAATAATGATAACATTCCCACTTTTCTGTAGAACAAACTTCTATATACTGATCCACAATCTTTCAAGGATTCTAAGTGTAGACTTTCATGCCACATTAAATTATCAGATCACATGACCCGCCCCCATAAAAACAGTAGGTGCATTCAGTTGACAAGTTCTTTATTTAACTGCTTTCTCATGATGAAGTCATGTTTTTGAGTTGCTTACTTCAGTGAAATATGCATGTTTTGTCATGGAATTAGTATAGCAAGTAAGCTTAAAGAGGCATCCTTTTAAATAGAGCTTAGATTTTAATTATTAAAAAGCATACTGGCTGGGGCTGGGCATATAGCTCAGTGGCACAGTGCTTACCTGGAAATTGCTACGTTGTGAGTTGGATTCCTGGTACCAAAAAAAAAAAAAAAAAGTGTATTAGTATTTATTGCCCAAGATTTGTTTTCCACAGGTTTTTGCTCAAAGAAATTTTAGTGAATTTCCCCTTTTTAAGACAGATTGTGACTATGAATGCCACTGTCTTTTGACACTGGACCTTTTTGTTTCACTTTAGTCATAAATTGTTTGAGTAAGTTAATACAAGCAGGTATAATATTTTCTATGCCCCTATTCCATGAAAAACTGCAAATATCAAGTAAAAGGGATATGTTAATCAGTGTTCCATTGTTGTTGAAAAATATCTGAGAAACAGTTTAAGAGAAGAAGAGATTCCATTCAGCAAAGAGCATTAACATGGTGGAGAGAGCATGATAGAACAAAGCTGCTTACCTGATGGTGGCAGGGAATCAAAGACAGAAAGCTCCCTTTTGCAGCAAAGCTCCCCCCTCAAACCCATTCCAACATGCATTCATCAGTAAGTTAATATAGGTTAATCTTTTGAGCCCCTGTCATCCAATCATTTTCAAAAGGCTACACCGCCACCTACTGTTGTCATAGGGACCAAGCCTTCAACACATGAGCTTTTGAGGGACACTGCAGATATAAACTGTGACAAAGGACAACTTTTAAAATATTATTAAAGACTTGTAGACAGTAAACATCATCTAAATCACTTAATTCAGAAAAAAAACCTTTTTCTATTTTAGTTCCATTCTAGTTATTTCTAAAAACCACACCTCTTTCTTTAGTTATCCCATTTCTTATTTGCCAATCTGTACTCTCTAAAAAACAACATATAATGCAAACACGGCTTTGTTTATTGATAATCAAATGATGTGATGCTTTAAAATAAACTCAATACTTTCAGAAACATATGTGTTCCTGGAATTTCTTCATGTATATCGTAAAATGAATATCTGTAGATTTAAAGTAAGATTGGATTGAACCTTCTGCAGTTGGAACCTTTTAGTCTGTAACCATATACACGGCTTGAAGGTGTGTTCTTCCTTTGCTTCGGCTGCATGTTTATTCTTTTGAAGGAGTTCTTTGAAGTACAAATTTTTTACTTTTGGAAGTTAATTTATGTATGCTTTTATTTTATTGCTTACACCTTTACTGTAACATAGGGAAAATGATTAATTCAAAGCAGTGAAGGTTTACTCCTAGTTTCCTCTAATACTTTACTTGTACACGTATGCCACATAGACACATGTATGTACAGACACACAGACATATGTATGTTTATATGATCTACTTTGAGTTTATTTTTGTATATGCTATAAGGTAAGGATTGAGGTTCATCCTTTTTTTTAGTACACATTTGCAGTACATAAAGTTTACAGTCATCTTGGAGAGTAGGGGCATGTACATGCTACAGGTTCTTTTTTTAACTCCTCCCTTTTCCCTTCCCTCTCACACCTTCCTTTAATGCCCCTTCTCCCATTTTCATTCTTGTTAATATTATTAGTCTTAGCACATATTTATGGCCTATAATGTCTACATTAAATTGAGGTTACGAGTTTCTTGTATATGGCATAACTTTATTGTACTTAATTCCCCTTGTATTCCTACCACCCCTTACCCTTGTTCTCTTGGACCCCTTTCCCATTTGCAAGAGATCCATCCTCTTCCTATACATCTTTTATTTTTCTGTTGCCACTTTGCCTTACTCAAATGAGGGATACCATATGATATTTAAGCTGGTGTGTCTGGTTTATTTCACTAAATATTATATTTCCAGGTGCATCCATTTTCCTACAAATGATGCAAATTTGTCCTTTATAGCCAAGTAATATTCCATTGTATATAGGTAGTACATTTTCATTGTCCAATCAGGTTAAATGGCATACAGGCTTCTTCCAGGACTTCGGTGTTATGAATTGAGCTGCTGTAAACGTTGTTATGCATGTATCACTGCAGTATGTAGTCTTAAGTTCTTTGGGGAAAGTATCTAGCAGGAGGATAGCTGTGTTATACAGAATTTTAAATTTTAGTTCTTTGAAAAATCTCTATACTGGTTTCCATAACAGTTTTAATAGTGTATATTTTCACAAGCAATGTAGGAGAGTTCTTTTTCCACCACAAGCTTGGCAGCTTTTGTTATTTTTTTTATTTTTTGATGATTGTCATTCTTTCTGGTGTAAGGTGGAATTTTACCATTGCTTTAATTTGCATTTCTTCAATGATCAGAAATGGTAAATATTTTTCTCATATATTAGTTGGCCATTTGGAATTGTTGCTCTGGGAAGTGTCCGTTAATATCATATACCCATTTCTTGACTGTTTCCTTTATTTTCAGTGGTCTATTTTGAGTTAAATATGTATTCTATATATGAGAATATATAAAAATATAATGTACATTAATATAATTTATATATTAATGTATAGATTTCCTCTGTGGAATGATTGATGATTTTTTTTTGAATTTTGTAGGTTGTCTCTTTGTCCACTAATTGATTCTTTTGTTATAAAGAAGCTTTTCAATTTGATGTAATCACATTTATTGATTCTTGCTGTTATTTCTTGTGCAGTTGTAATACTGTGTAGAAAATCCTTCCCTACACCCAAGACTTCAAGTGTTTTATGTTTTATCCTCCAGTAGGTTCAATGTTTCTGTTTTAATGTTTAAATCTTTTATTCATTTTTATTTTAATTTAGTACATTGTGAGAGATATGGAGCCCTTTTCAATCTTTTGCAAAGAGTTACCCAGTTTTCCAAACATAACGTGTTTAATAAGCTGTCTTTCTTCCAAGCATTTTTTATTACTAAAGACTGTATTTGTCAAACATAGTGATGAATTTCAGGTAGCTGTTCATCATTTCTAGTTTTATCGTACAATTGTTGCATCCAGGGGGGTGCATTGCAGCTGTAGCTCCATGGTTCTCTCTGTCTGAGGTGCTCGACAGGATTGTAAACAGTATCAGTTACAAATTAAAGACACAAATTTTAAGGAATGGAAGACATTTTATTGGACACCTCATTGGAAAGTGGGGAAAAGTGGACGGTAGACAACTACCCTAACAAGTCAGGGTAGAGGGGTCCCAGGAACATGGAAAACCCGTGGGCCTTTTGTTCCTGGCTGCTTTATGTCCTCTCTACCTGGAATTTTCCCTAACCTGATTGGTGGCCTGGGCTATCGTAGGTGGATCCCTAGCCCCAAGAAACCTAACTCCCCGTACCTCATCTACATGCACATTCTTAAGTGATTATCACTTGATTTGCTCTTGTCCTGTCAAGATTCTGTCTCTAGAAGTTAGGGGTTCTTTACAAGAAATTTCACATACAGTATTGAGCTAGCAATTAAGTTTAAGGGATGTATGTATTTCAATATACTAAATATGAGTTGTCTTTTAAGTGGCCATCACTTGTCTCCTTTGCATTTTATTGAAGGTGGGGAAAGTTAGCTAGGCCTATCTGCTTGACTTACCAACTTTCCCTCTAATTGCTTCCTTTAGTGAGGGTTTAACTATTTCTAGTCAGGATTTGCCAGAAGGTTTACTGAGGACTTGTCCTACTTTTCCTACCTACTATTCCCCTTTCCCAACACTATGATATGATGGTACCCATGAGATTTTCAATTCTTTGATGTTTATTTAAGCATGATCTTTGCCTATCATGCTATCTATTTTAGGAAAATTCTGTTTGATGCTGAGGAAAATGTACATTTTGTTGCTGGATGAAACATTCTTAGACATCTATTAAGTCTTTCTGTTTGATGGTGTGCTGTTGCTCAATTCTGACTTTTGTGGATTTTTTGTCTGGTTGCCCTGTCTATTTATGAACATAAAATATCTATGAATAAATTTCAGATTTGTAAGCAAAAGTAAATTACCTTGTGTTTCAATTAAAATGAGAAATGCAGCTGAATGTCTAATCAAAAAGATACAGTTGCCAGTTAGGAGATGACTGTGAAGTTTTCTGTGTGTGGAAGGCTTTACTAAATTTTAAATTTTAATTTTGAAATTACACTCAAATCTCTTTGATATTCTGAAAGGGCTGGATTCAATGCCATTTTCTATTACTGCAGCCGTAGTTTACTTCACTAAACGATTAGAATAGAAAGCAAAAGAATGGTTACTCTGACTTTGAGAATTTAAAACCCACTTGTGTTATTTTAGAAGTGTCAAAATGTTTACTTTGGGACAGTCTATTATGGTACTTGTACATTATTATAACAAGAAGAAGAACACTGGATTGATGGAGTACTGATGCATAAACAAGCAAATA